GCACCCCTGTAAAGCCTCTTAAACCTTTACACATGAAATACAAACACAAATCGACTCAACTACAAGTCAAAATTCATGCTTAAATGGAGAAAATAGTGGTGAGAGGACAATTCTCACTCTTCTTCACAGGAAGCATATTTAAATAAAATAACCCTACCACCATATATGGGCGCTCTAAATATACCCGTGTTATGTAAAGAAGCTGTAAAAATAACACGCAGCTCAGTTTGTCATGCAAACAGTCTCTTTTCAAGAATAAGGAAGTTTACTTGATGTGTTTTGCACCTCACCATTAATGGCAGCAGTTGAAAGAGAGACACACACAAACACGCTGGTTTAAACACACTCATATTGAAACACAACCACCACTGTGGCTGAAGGTCATGCACAAACACGAATTTGGTCCCCATAGCCTAAAAAGCAAAACCGAAACACACCACAAGTTTTAAAAAGGCTGTGGTGTGATTCTGAATCTCTTAGCAACTGATGCAGAGTCTTTTCAGCTATTTCATCTGATTCAAACAGCAGGGATATATTTTCACTATGGATGACACACGATAAAACTTCGACCCTCTGTGCCCCATAATTTAACACCAGATGACCCACTGAGGATCCTGCAAAGAAGTGACCTTCTCAGAAGTTGTTCATTAAGCTCAATAACACAGTTGTAAGACGCACAGCATCATTATGGTGAATTCGCGTATTCTTGAAACAGACAACATGTTCATAAATAATATTTTTTCTTAATTCAGTGGTGCAGGTCTACAGTGCAATACTGTTAAAGCTCGAGTTCGCTAAACAAGCAAAAACAGAACTGAAAAAATTACTTGCGTTAACTCATAACAGGCCTTCATTTGTTAGTGGACAGAACAGAAGTTTAAGCATTTTGCTGATATTTTTGGCTGTTTTACAAACAAAAATGAATTTTATGCTTAAGTAAAACAGTTTTAAATCACAGTCCTTGTGATTTTGCTTCTTTTGAAGGCCAACACCTTTTTGGTTGTCCCAGAAATTTCCATATACAGGACAAACCCACTTTTGGCTGCTTCCTTATTCAAGGCGGTCGCCACAGTGGGTGGGACGGCTTGTTTGATTTGGCAGATTTTTACCCCTGACACCCTTCCTGATGAAACTCCAAAGGAATTAGTGTCTCCAAAATCTGTATCTGGAAAGACAAACCCTTATATTCATAAATGTAACGACATATTTGTACAATATTCTCTTTAATCATTTATGCAGGCATGTATGGCTCTAGGAATTGTTTTTTTAATTAAGAATTTTCCTTGCAATGTATGGCAATTAAATGGCATATTAAAACAAATAAACAAAATCAGCTTTTAGGAACCATTCTATTTCCTTAAAAACATTTGTATAACAAAAATGCTTCTGTTAAGTAATGCCACACAGTCTCATTACCTTACAGATTCTTACTACAGACTGTAAAGTGGCTGCACTAGTTGAGGACATCAGTTAATGTGTGATGGAGCACCAATGCAGTACAGCTTCAAGTTAATATTTTTCCCAGTCTGTCTAAACTTTAATTCTCCTCGCTACTTGTTAAGTTATCGTTCATGCATTACTCCTAGTTGGATGGTCAACACATTGTTTGAATGTTTGCAGAATCTTAATGAGCTTGAAAGTCAACATTGGCACGACCACCTTTATTCTTAAACACAGTCTGAACGCTCTGAGGCAGCTTTCTTTTAACTTCTTTAAGTAGCCTTTAGGAATAGTTCTGCAGACTTCTTGACAGACATTCAAAGCTCTTCTTCGGATGTTGGCTACCTTTAGATGATCCCACAGTGGTTCAATAATGTTGAGGTCCAGGCTTTTGCGAGGCTAATCCATGACTGATAATGTTTATTTGTGTGTTTTTCTATCCAGATATGATTTCCTACTGTTGCCAATCCAATGGTGGATCTGATGGCACCTTTCTGTGTTTATTATTTATCAACATTACACAGCCTCCATCGTGTTTTACAGATGGCTACAGAAGATGATTGTTGTACATCTTTCATGACCTCCTGCATATTTAATGACAATGACTTAAAGCAAAAATAAAAAAATTTGGATTCATCACACCATCAGACTTGTTGCAGCTGATTTTCAGTTGGCTTCTTAACACCCACCCTTCCACTGAGCTGACTTCTAATCAGGCTTTCGGACACAGCAGATGAACTGATCCAAACACCTATTACAAGTCTGTAAAGTTGTGTTATCTTTGGCATTTTTATAACTTCGACTTGAGAAATGTGAAGAAATGGTGTGTTTTTGTTACAGATACAATTTAAAATTGGTTCTTTGCTAAGTTTTCTGTTTTGTGTATACACAAAGTTCATCCCTTGAGTTAAGTACCCTTTGTAATGCTTGAAGGTTTGCAGGTCAGTTTTAAGCGACATTAACCATAATATGAAAATGACCAGGAACAAAGACTGGACTGAAAATGGGTGAAAAAGCAGCCAATTTTAAAGAAACAAAAGAAAACAAAACAAAAAAACAACAACTTTGAAAGACCTTTAGAAAGCCTGCAAAACTTTACCTCAGGACCAAATTTAGGAAAAAAAAATACAAAAAAGCAAAATATAAAGAAAGGGACAGTGGCTCGGGATGTTTGCACAGTACGCTGCAAGTTAAATCTGATTTTGTCCATTTTGTGAAAAATCTAACTTTCAACATCATCTGGACATCCTTTTTGGACTTTTAAACAGAGAAAAGTTTTTATCAATTTGAATAAAATGAAACAAACAAAACTTTCTTCATCAAGACACCAGTAAAAAATAACAAATACATAAAAAAAATAAATAAAAAAAATCACTCATGACTCACTCTGAGGACTTAACTGGAATAATCTGAACACTGTTTCTTGCCTTGTATGAGAAAGTCTGACTGGACCACTACTGAACTCACAGTAAACATCTGTTCATCTGTAGTTAAGTTATTAGAATAGTAGAACAGCTGGTTTTAACTGAGGAGTTTATCACCAGGTTTCTTTTTTAAATAAAGCTCGTTTATGTAAAGAGAGAGGGGGTCTGGAATGAAGAAAGCCAAAAGGGATTTGGGAACAGTTGCTTATTAACCTGATTGCATAGCAGTGCAACAGCTCCTTTTACTCATTATGCCATAATAGGTGTGACCAGTTTTGAAAACCTAAAAATTGCTCAAGAGTCTTAGTGCTCCTGTCTGCTTCCCACAACGGCTGGAACAACAACAACAACAACAACATGAACAAATACTTAACTGCTGCAGTTAACAATTCTTCAGTGTTGTGCAAATGAAAACCACTTTCTTCATTTCATATGGCAACTTGACTGCAAAACATGTCTTTAGCCATTATTCAGTCATCTGCTTCCTTTCAGACCATTTCACTTCAAGTGTGTTTATGTCTCAGCCTCTTATCATGGTCCTGTGTTCCCAATAGAGAACAGGGAGGGGGCACACCCCTTTCCTTTTCTGTCTTGCACACACATACACAAACACAGACACCAGTAACTTTTACAATAGAAACAGGAAGCCGAGCTACTGGACACAGAGAGGAAATAGTAGAGGCTATTTCCCTCTCTGGTCGGTGTGGGAGTAAGTGTGTCAGTGAAAGACACTCATCCATCACTTTAATACCTTGCTATCTTCCTTTATTCTCCCACGCATTCATAACCCTGAATGTGGTGTTGTGTTGCAACACATCTTAACACATGTTAAGAAAACATTCAGCATTTCTCACACATCAGGCCTTTCCCCAAAACTCACACAGGCACGCCCCTGCAGCAACCAGAGAAGCCTGGCAAACGGCCTGAAGCATCACTGAGGTTGTTTAGATGTTCAATGCGCATCACACCTGATTTTGTTTTATCCAAACACCCCATGCCAAACTCCATTCATAAATCTGACGATGTAATGGTATTGCTAAACAATCAATATAAATAGCAGCCTTAAAGCTTCCCCTTTAACTCGACAGCAGAAGCAGCCAGGCTCCTTTAAAATTCACTTCGTATATTGAGAGTTACATATCCATCATTCTGACGGTAAAAGGGGGAGAAACTATGACTTCAGAGATAAACAATTCAGAAAAAATAATATAACCTTACAAAATGTTTGATGAAAGAAAACGGACATGATGCCGAATTAATGAGACAATTTCAAAATATTCTTCTGTGTTCTGGTTTGTGAAAAGAAATCCGGCGTGTCTCTCTACAATCGAGTCAACTTTGAACTTGGAGATTTTCTGACTTGAGTTTGGTGTGGCATGCACCAAGGCAGTAAACTGAAATCTAGAAGCTAAGCTGTTCGCCCTTTAATAATGCTTTCTAACTTACCTATGACTATTCTGAGATGCTTGAGCCTCGTCAGCACGTCCTTCTTTGGGTCCAGCACTTTCTGTGTGGATTTTTTAACGTCCCCATGAGGTTTTTTGGAAAACATTCCTGAGGCAGGAGACGCAAGAATGCGATGGTAGACAGCAAGGAGGAGCTAGCCTGTGTAGCCAGCTAATCTTCAAACTATAACGAAAAACGTGTCTCCCGGAGCATTAGCAGCCCTCCGCAACAGCGTGGAGTATTTCTACGGGTAAAAAATTATCAGAGAAACTCATTCTCTTTAAACTAAGACAAATATGTACAGCGTAGCGGGGCAACGCATCCATCCATTGCACCTCCCTTCTCCACAACAGTCACTAGCTGCTTAGTTAGAAAACATCATGGCGGAGGAGGGGAGGGGGGGGAAACAAAATAATAGATAGCAGATAAATTCAACGCAAAAATGCCACAGTAATAAGCAAAATTTCTATCCCGTTTGTCATAAATATCACACAGATCTTACATACTTTGGACATACGTGGATTTTAATCTTTTAATGTTTTAAACGTGCAGGATTCTGTTCGAACTCTCCGCCTCAAGCTAGAGCGGTGAAACATGGGTAATGTAGTTTAAGCTTCCACAGTGGTCCTCTATTCATTAGACTATTCTAGATAAAGAAAACTACAATTCCCAAAACAAATAAAGGCGTCCTGCAGAGATTTGTTTTTAGCTTAGCTGGAGCACACGAGTGTAATCGTAACTGAGGTATAACGATAAGTTTTTACTTTTTTTCCCCCTCCGAAAACATTTTTTCCCAACACATCCTGCAAAGTACCACCTATCTTGTAAGATGTGAGTCAGTTAAAGCTTGCTTGTTTGTATATATTTGTAATTAAGTCGTGATAGTTTTTCTTGCTACTTGACTATATTCTCTTGCTAACGTGCTAACGAAATGCTAATACTGCTGTCGTGTATTGGTTTTTTTGAATAATTTAATAATTTCAAAGCTAAGCTAGGGAGAGCTTATCGAATAAACTAGCATAAGCAATAAAATAGTGTGTACGATTATTGTCTATAATATTCAAACACCTTGAGGATACTTTTCAAGTTCCACCATTAAAAACAGTTAACTGAAGAAAAATGTGTATGAGAAGTCGTTCACTACGAACAGTATAAACAAATACCCCACATTATTAGCTTCTTTAGTTAAGCTGAATATTACACAGGTAAATGTGAGTCAAAAAAAATCACCTGGTTGATCAACGATCGCTGGATATATGAAGGACGTAATCAAACTAAAAACCCAGAAATAATTCTAAGTTAAGAAGTTATATAATTTTATTAGCAGGAAAAAACAGAGTTGATGTTCTTTAGCAATACATTTGTTAGTGATATTTAATTAATTCGGGATGAGCGCATCAATCAGAGCAGCAACTGAACTATTAACGTTTTAATCAACCTACTAGTTGTGGCATGCTGATTTGTAATTTCCCTTAGTATTTTAAATAATCTAGAGAAAACATATGGTAGGATGTGAAGAAAGGAACTGCGGTACTGCATGAGGAAGTCAGAGGTGGCAGAGAAGTGTGTGATTATGGTGAGGGAGGTGTAACAGTGAAACAGCAAGGAGGAGAGGTAGGGAGGGGACATGAGTTTAAATACCGGGGTCAACCATCCAGAGCAATGAACAGTGTACAAAAGAGGTGAAGAAGAGAGTGACTACCATCAGTAAAATATAGGAGTTCTGCTGCCTAACAAATAATTGAATATTGTATGTGCAACTGGCAAAACAACCTGGCTATGTTTCTGTCCCACACCAGTAACCTGACGCAGAGTTGCCGCCATGCCATTGCACCGTGACCGGGAGAAAAAGGAGAGTACAGCTGAGGAGATGGAGGCGGAGGAACATGAGCAGGAGGCATCAAGCTCAGAGGAGGAGGACTCTGACACTTCCTCTGTCTCTGAGGATGGAGACAGCTCAGGTGAGAAACACTGGTCGCAGGAAATGAGCAGAACATTCCTGTACAGCTGTCATTAAAAATGAATACTTGAGTGAATCAATCAGATTTTACAAAGTTGTCAAAGCTTCAACTGAATATCATTATATTCCTACTCAGCAGAGTTTTCTTACATAGCCACCGAGTTGCTCCCTTCTTCCATCAAAGACTAGTTTCATACCAAAGGTGTGTTTGTTTTATGCTGTTCTAGAAATGGATGAGGTGGACTGTGAGCGGAGAAGAATGGAGTGTCTGGATGAAATGTGCAACTTGGAGAAGCAATTCACTGATCTCAAAGACCAGTAAGACTGACTCTTTGCTTCAAATGGGAGTTGTTTTAGGAAAGTCATATAACAGTGAGTTGCATCCATATTTACTCCTGCGTCTGTGTACAGGTTGTATCGTGAGCGTCTCAGTCAGGTTAACAGCAAGCTGGCAGAGGTGGAGGCTGGCCGGGCGGCAGAATATCTGGAGCCTCTGGCAGTACTGCTGGAGAACATGCAGGTCCGCACCAAGGTGGCAGGTAACTTAAATGCATAGACACCTTCACATCACACTCGCATTTGTTGTTTATGTAGCCAGCTGTGCAATGCCTTCTGGTAGAGTTGCAGTTTGTGCAGCAGGGTGTTGAGTTGCCTGCTTTGCATTTGCAGAAAGTTGACATGTAACCTAGTAACATGAATTAAAAGTGAAATGTTTGCAGAAACACATTTTGTGTGCCTTTTTTTTGTAATTACAGAAAAAGTGTGTAAGCCAATGTGTTGTTTTCAATTTAAAATCCAGGAGTAAACAGTATTTATTTAATCAAACATGGTCAGTGACTGTATGGCTGTAAGTGGCTGTGGGAAACACTGTCTAAAGTACACATAGGCAAAATACATCTAGTGGATAATGCAAGTCCATCCTGCAACAAATTAGTAACAAGCAGCATTCTAATAAGGAAGACTGCTGTTGGTGTGTTTAATCAATAACCTGTGCATTGGTGCATATCAGACTGCTGGCAAGATGTAGCCTAATTTAAATATACATTGCATCCATTCAGAATTTTTTTTATATATCAACTATTAACTATATAAAGATTTACATTAGCCAGTTTTTGCATGCTATCTAAGTCACAGTATGGAAATGTGGAGCAATCCTCAAGTGCAAAATCCCCACTGTGAGAAACCACACGATGTGGTGAATTTGAATTTTGCTGTTTCAGAATCAGAATACTTTATTAATCCCTGGGGGAAATTATTTGTTTGCATCTGGCCTCAGCACTGAAGTGGTGTTTTAGGACCTCTTAAACAGACTCTTGGGAAAAAGCGCTGGCCCAGGTTAAGTTAGATAGCACAGAGATGGTGTCATTACTCGGAACGTGCAAAAACAAGTTTTTTGGGTTTTTTTGACACGCCCTTTCAAATAAAGGTGGTATTAGTAATAGCACAAGTTCTTTGACACACTGATCTCTTTATTCATTTGGATATTGTGTGTCTCTCTCCGTCTTTGGCAGGTATCTACAGAGAGTTGTGTTTGGAGTCTGTGAAGAACAAGTACGATTGTGAGATCCAGGCAGCATGTCAACACTGGGAGGTTGGACACACCGTTTAATATACCAAACTATTTTTTATTTATTTAGATATGTGGTAATGCAATTGTTTTCTCTGTATTATTATATGGTCTTTATATTATAAAGGGCTTTGAGGTGATTACTGCTGTGATTTGGCGCTTTATAAATAAAACTGAATTGATCCAGTCTGTGTGTATGATTATGTGTTTTATGTGTTATTTTGACTCTGTGTGTGCAGAGTGAGAAGCTGCTGCTGTTTGATACAGTGCAGAATGAGCTGGAGGAGAAAATCCGAAGACTAGAGGAGGACAGGCACAGCATTGATATTACATCAGGTAACACAGTCATTCACGTTGTTTGATTACGTTTGTACCCTCCCACCATATACGGGAAGTCACGTTACAATGAATGCAAAGACAAAACATTTGAGTTTTTGTTTTTATTTTTCTATCAGAGCTGTGGAATGATGAGCTGTCAGGAAGGAAGAAGAGGCGAGATGCTTTAAGTCCAGATAAGAAGAGGAGACGCCCGTCGGTGGTGTCTGATATCCTTCTAATGTCTTTACTCTTGCTCATAATGATTCTACTCCTAAATAACTTAACTACTTGTGCTGTAGCCATGTGTCTGATTACATTTCATCCCTGCTCTAGCAGTCAGTCACTGTCCTTAACTCTGCTTACGTCCATATATTGTCTACATGCTACCAGATCTGGACATCCTAGAGGACTGGACCGCGATCAGGAAGGTATGTGTTAATGTGCAGGACTCCACCCTCTTTCTTATTTCTCAGGTTGTGTATTCCTGATTCCTTTTTCTTGCCTCCTCTCCTGAGGCTCTTGTTTGTGAGCCATCATAATGTGACATGTGGCACATCTGGAATCCTCATCAGTTTTCACCTTGAGAAATTGAAGCAACAACTGTCTACAAAGTACGTCCCTCTCCTCCAGAAGCATTTTAGGAATTAAGACATCTAATATGTACTGAGATTGATTTCCAAGTCACAGGCAGAAGGATGAGGAGGCACAAAATTCAGAAATGCGAAAATCCTCTTATCTTTGTCTCTTTGTGGCGGTTTATTGTGTGTTTAGGCAACATTTAACAATCATGTGTGTGTTCACCCAGGCCGTGGCTACGCTCGGGCCTCACAGAGGGAGATCTGACTCTGAGAGCTCTGCGTTCCCATTCAGACCTGACAGAAGCAGGCCCATTCTAAACTGCTGAGACACCCACACAAGCAGCCGCATAGGAAAAAACACCTCAAGGACCTCCAACACGGAAACCTCTACATGACACATGGTGGCATTCAGGTCTGCAGTCATAAAAACGCACACAGCAGGACATTTCTCAGTCTTCACAGAATCCTCTGCACTTCTCAGCTGACAGTGATTCCACCTGTCTGTGAGATGATTGGTCAAGCTGCCTCTCCTGCCAACCATCATGACTTTAATAGATAAACAGGAACGGAAGCATTATTGATCACCGCTCGTATGTTTGGGTATTGCTGCTTTATTTCACACTCAGGCTCTGTAGACGGTTTCAGCCGACACAGGTTTTTGTAGTTTGTTAAGAAAACCACAACAATTAAAACAAACATCTCATGTTAAATGTTATGAAAACGGCTCAGCGCGTAAAAGCCATTGATGCTACAGCTTAAGCATCACTGAACCTGTTCCTTCAAAATGCTTTTCAGTCAGTGTTTAGATTTTGAATACATCCATTCACTTCGGATGCACAGATGGCCTTCATTAAAAATTTAAATGCTTCTCAAAGGTCGTATTCGGTGAGGTTGGTGTCCTCGCTCCACATTGTGGTTGCCTTGAGTGAGTTAATTGGTGAGCTTATGCTGGTAAAATGGGCGGGAGTATGAAAATGAGTCATTTGTTTAAGCAAACATTTCAGCCGAGCATCAAATTCACATTAAGTCTGACTTTTTACAGCTTGCAAACTCTGTGTCGATTATTGGTTGGTAAAGAAATCAGTCGTTCTGTGCTCAACAAGGTCGAGGACTTGGTTTGACTTCAGATTTACCATGTGTTTTGCTGTAGGTTTTCAAATTTCAGGCTTCCAGTGACTAAGTGGGGGGAGAATACAAGTTCATCAATGATGCCATAAAATATATGGGTTTTTTTGTTTGTCTGTTTTTTTGGCCTTTAATACAGTTTACTTTGTTTTGAAGACCATCCATGAGATATTTTACGAAACCAATAAAAGGGGTTATTTGGAAAAGAGTAATGCACAGAATTCCTGTCAGTGAGCTGACTTACAAAGACTTTTTGTCATTAGTGTAAGAGTAAAAACAGGCATTTTTCTTTTCAGTCTGTCTTGTTCATACAGTACAGTGTTTATGGACAGTCAAGGCACATTCCTCTGGCTTGTAGTGATGGAATGCTAAAACAGCAGTCTCTGTAATGTGCTGAAATAATTATCCACCAATACCAGATCTTACTTTGAAGGAAGTGAGCCAGATCTGTGCTGAGACTGACCAGAAAGTTTCATTAAATTCTGTTTGGTTATTTTAGCATAATCCAGTGGATATAAAGAGCAGAAGGTGGACTATTTTAAGTGAGGGCTAAATGTAATGTATAAACAGCACATGAAAAGTTAAAGTGCTAATGTTGTCATTCTGCAGGTGTTGCATCCTCTTCTCTCACATCTACCTCTTTTCTCTCTCTCTCTCATGCTCTTCAAAGTACAGTTCACATTTTTCCTCATGAACGTGTAAATGCTGGCATCTTTATGAACACCGTTAGGTAACTTAGTGGTTGGCATGGTTGTTCAAATTTGTTGGCATTGTTTCGTTGTTATAAAGCCTGCAGAAATGTTAATTGTACGTGGTGGTGGGGGGAGTTAAGCCAACAAAATCCTTTAATCAGTCATCTCACGGTTGATGATGAAACAAAACTGCCATTTGATAGCATCGTTTTTTATGTTTAGGTTCTGGGGATGTAATATCCAAAAGTTTGGACAATAGGTTTTCACTTGCCCTTTTCTTGTTTATCATGTTGATGATTTTACAATTAAAAGTTGTTTTATAAACATGTCCTTTAGGCGTCTTTGTGAAAGCGCTGTCGGCAGAGCTACTTCCTCTCGATTTCAGCCTCGCATCTTTGCAACTGATTGCTTCATTAATACCAATGAAATATTTAGCAACTTTCTGCAGCGGAGCTCACAGAGTGCTTCCACATCTTTAAAAGGAAGCAGCAATGGATGCAGGAACTAAATGGGGAGAAACCTGTCGAGCTCTCAAAGTATACACTGTGTACTCTTAATGAAATAATAGAGCAGATGTATTTCCTCTTTCAGAAGAACGTGCAGTATTCTCCTACATTACCTAATGATTACAACAGGTTAGAGGATATACAGTTGCTATTTAGTAACTGTATATCCTTCTACTGTTTTTAAGTTGTGGCAGGCAGGCCCTGCAATTTCTTTTTTTTTTTTTTTTTTTTTTCCATGTCTCAAATCTACTTGATGTAACTGACTGACTAATGTAAATCCAAATAAATATGCCCCTGTAATATAATAATTTGTACACACAAATACTGTATAGCAATATATTAAATAGGCTACACTAGCTCCTAAAAGCAAAAGAAGTTCCATCAGATTAAGTTACAGCATCAAAACATGTTGATTCAAAGTTCCACGGCGGAGGACTAGCAGGCATTTAAATGCATTTTAAGTTTTACAGTTGATAAAGACTTCATTCATACTAAGAGATACACAATTAAATGACAAAAGTTCTAACCCCCTATTAAAACTTTAATTATATGATAGTCTGGGTAATGAGCTAGCAGATCTTTTTCTCAAGTTTTACATGTTTAATGTTGACAGAAACTTTCTATTAAGCTGTATATTTACAGGGAGAAATTTGCATAATTATGACTGAAGCTGGAGAAGTAAACCTTTATTTTCAGATTTTTCTGAGCATCTTTAAAATATTCTGGAAATGTATCATGTGATAAATCACCAGAAGTTGAGAAACTGTTGTATACAGTCAAGGTTAAAATAAATCAAAGCATATTTTGCAATTTCAGAAGTGTCAAATTCAAAACAATTTAAAAATTTAAAATGTAACTATTTTTTAATAATGTTTTGTTTCTCCTGATGACTTTACAGCTGTATGCATAACAACTTACATTAGTAAATATGATGACACTGACAATTCAAGTCTTTATTAATCTAGCAATAATCACTTTTTACAAAATTCACATGAAGGTATCCTCTGTTCCAGTCAGTCTATTAAACTTACTCCTGTGACTGTTTATTCAGGGAAACATGAGCAGCTATTATAAGCCACCTTTTTCAAAGTCTAGGCCATATTAAAGTCACTGTAACATGATCAAAAGCACTGTTCAACTGCTTCTCTCACTGTGAAATAAGAAGTAAAATATCCCACTTCCCACAGGGAAGTCAGTGAAATTCAATTATGCAACTCTGATACATTTCACCAAAAGCAGTCTCATTTGAGTTCAAGATCAACTCAGCTCAGTCGCAGGCAAAACCAGGCTTAACGTGTTCGGACTGAAGTGTCATAAAATCAAACGACAAGATGCTAACCAGCTACATTTTTTAAAATTATACTGATGATGACAGACAAAAACTATTTCAGGGCTAGTTGTGTTTTTGCCATGACAGACATGGTACGATCATTCAAATCTCTCCTTCATCTCAGTGAAGTATTCCCATCAAAAACCTCTGACGCTGACTAGACGACAGGCAGCTGTTTTTGGGTCATGTGACACACGCAGTCCAGGCCGAGTTTACTTTAACATCAGCTTCCTCATAGAGAATGTAAATGGTGAGAGAAACAGGTGAGGGAATAACAAAGACGTAAGAAATAATGTCATTAGACAACAAGCAGCAAGAAAACAGGCCAATGAAGGAGGATGTTCTCCCCTGCAAACACTATTCAATAAACACATCCTTCTGGTGAATAAATAGATGTTTATGGAAAAAGGGTAACCAGCAATCTGCCCTACACTGTCCACGTTAAACATTAACCAGAAGTTCTTCGTCTCACAGCTGATGTAGAAACTCAGTCAGGCTCAAATGGCGTCTTCAGGTGAGGTTGCGTTCTCTGGAGACTGGCTTTGTGGTGCGGGAGGGAGGGATTGATGAGGTGGGGGAGGGCCCATGGAAGAAGGTGGGTGGCCGTCGGGAGAAGGGGGTCGCATATTGGGAGGATAGGAGGGCATGTGAGGATGAGGACCAACAGGAAGGGGAGCTCCACTAGGATGGTATCGAGGAGGGGCCATCACTCCTGGAGGTTGAGGAACCCACACTGAAGGGGGAAAAAATGGAAAGGTCAAGTTTACAATAATGACATCTGGAGATGGTTAAAGGTGCAAAGATGGATGAAAGTTCCTACTAGGCCTGATGGGAAGTCCCCCAGGTCCCCTGGGAGAGTAGAAATCAGGAGGTGGGGGTCCATAAGGGGCTCTGCGAGGAAAGGGACCATCCATGGGACCCATTGGTGGACCCATCCTTGGATCTGCTTCAGGGGGAGTCCTGCATTCAGGACCGGACTGTTGGAAGACAGAAAAAGATTAGAGAGGCTGAGCCACAAATAAGCACTCAGTATTCACACACAGACGCATATACTTACCTCTCTATGGTCCTGTTCACCAGGTCCAAAGCTGTTTTCTCTGTAGGAATCTGCATTGATAAAACATTTAGTGAATTAACAGAAATATGAGGGTCACGTGTGCATTTCAGCACATGCTAAGGAGGATTTTTTTTGTTTACATGTCCAAGTTTACCCATTTAGAGTCAAAAAAGAGAGAGAGCAGAAACTCACCTGGCATGTCTGCAGGGTAAGAGGGTCCTGGAGGAACATTCCGAGGATGGTGGGAGCCAGGAGGGAGAGGAGGGAGTGGACCAGGAGGAAGGGCACGAGGAGGGAGTGGACCGGGAGGGAGGACGCCAGGAGGGAGGGCGCCGGGAGGGAGAACACCAGGTGGGAGGACACCGGGGGGAAGGACGCCAGGAGGGAGAGAGTCAGGAGGAGGCAAAAGGCCCAGAGCTCCTGGAGGAGGTAGAGGTCTTCTGTACATGGGAGCTCCTGGTTCTGGAAACATATAGCCTGAAGAAGAGAGCAATGGATAGTAAGAAGATATTTGCTACACAAAGCTTAAATCTGTGGTGACATTCAGAAAACAGAGGAGAGAGTGAGTGTCTGAGGTTTACCACATAAGAGCTGGAAATAGAAATGTAGTAATACGTTGTACAAATACTTTCATCACAGGGACAATTTTAGCATCCAGAGTAAAAAAAAAACAAAAAACCTCAAAATGCTTTCAAGACAATGAACATGCAACATCAACATGCTTTAGCCCCCCCGCCCCCACACACACACTATACTTATATTATATTTAAAATGCAAGATGCACATGCACACAGTAATAATATGCATGACAACTATGTTGAATATCAACTAACTTCTATTCATATTTGTGTATTCATGTACTCATTCATTCTTTTCATACGCAAGTGCTGGAACCATTGCAGGGGAATGTCATCCATGCAGTGACAACTTAGTTTACTATCACCTAATGGAGATGCTGGGGGAAAAAAAAGGTTTGAAAAAAAGGTTTGAATAGGTGCACAGGGGGCTTCCATGTGGCTATTTTAAGGTCTCACAGGGATTACTCATACTTACACTGACCTCATTTTTTGAAACTTTGGCCCTTCGTTTCTGTTTGCTAAACATTGTCTTGATAATCTGTGAGATGTTGGCTGTGTGGGCACTTGTAACAGTCTGGTTCTCTCCAGTTTTTTTTCACACACCTGGAGGTCCTAAAGGCCCAGGTGGTCCTGGTGGGGGTCCTCTGCGATCTCTCTCCCAGGTAGGAGAGATTGAGCCGCTGTCTGAATGAGGACCTCCACTGCGCTCCATCTCCCCCTGGCCTCCTGGGGGCTCCCCTGGACCACGAGACACTGTGCAGGAAAGGATTGTTGGAAGAAGATGGGGGGGGGAAGAGTGACAGACAGAGAGAGGGGCACAAAAGAAGAAAGAGAACAAGCAGAACAAACGCCCAGAGACGGTGATGACAGTAAGTCCAGATTTCATCACATTATATTCTGTTGTCTTTTGTGCATTCAAGATTGCTGTTAGCATGCACAGACCATGCAACAAAATGCTTCAGCAGTTTGTCATGCTATAGTCAGCTGGTCATCCCCAACATGCTGCATGTTTCTACACCATTTATGAGTATGAATGAGAAAATGTACTCTCCCAATTATGTAAGAATAAAATTATTACAAGTATATTTATATTTGTAGTGTTTGTGTGTCATTCTAAGGATCTGGCCATGCTTCGTGTATGTGTTTGCTGCAGCTAGCTGCACCTTTAAATGCATTTACCTCTAGGAGACAGTCGAGCAGGTGGTCCATCCATTAACGTAGGAGGTGAGAGAAATGGTCTGGTTTCCGATGAAGGTCGACCCAGAGGAGAAGGAACATACGGTGACCTTTCAGCTGGAAATACAGGAATGTTTGGTGAGTGCAAATGGAAGAAAATCTGCAGCCCTGCAGAGTCTTACGACCGCAATTTAGGCAAGAAGCAGCTTTTTTAGAACTTTCCAACCACCTTCTTCAGT